TCAAACATTTAACAAGCTGGAGATCCCTTATAGATTTCCCTCAAACATTTAACAAGCTGGAGATCCCTTACAGATTTCCCTCAAACATATAACAAGCTGGAGATCCCTTACAGATTTCCCTCAAACATATAACAAGCTGGAGATCCCTTATAGATTTCCCTCAAACATTTAACAAGCTGGAGATCTCTCATACATTTCTTTCAAACACTGTATTTAACGAGCTTGATTTCAGCTGCACCTGCCACGATTCTACTTGGTAAATCAGCCTTGAGGCTCCTCCTGATAATCCTTTTTCGCAGAATCCCAGAGTTGTTTGGGTGGGAAGGGGCCTTAAAGCTCATTTAGTCCCACCCCTTGCCTTGCGCAGGGACACCTCCCACTAGCCCAGGTTTCTCCAAGCCCTGTCCTTGAGCATTTCCACGGGTGGGGCAGCCACAACTTGTGCTGGAATTCCACCTGTGGAGCCACATCTTTGTTCCAAAAGCAGTTAGGGGGTGCCGTGGTGTGTGTTTTCCCCGTGCTGACGCTGTGCTCCCGCAGCGCCCCGCTGTACCTGTACCGGCTGATGGCGGTGGTGGTGCACCACGGGGACATGCACTCAGGGCACTTCGTGACCTACCGGCGCTCGCCGAGCCCGCGGGGGGCCCTGGCGGTGCCCGGGCAGTGGCTCTGGGTGTCGGATGACTCCGTGCGCAGGGCCAGCCTGCAGGAGGTGCTGGCGGCCAGCGCGTACCTGCTGTTCTACGAGCGCGTCCACGGGCGCGCCCCGCAGCGCGGCCCCGAGGAGTGACCGCGGGACAGCGGCTGCACAAAGGCGGGACTGCAACTCGCTCCAACTCCTCCCAGCTCCACGTGGCACCTGCTCTGCAAACCGCCCCCATCCGAGGTTCCCCTTCCCCGGGAGTTGTGTTTTGTACCAAAAGTCGCCGCCCGAAGCCGCGCGGCCCCAAAGTGTGTGTGTTAGAGAAGCGTTTGTTGTATCGGTGATTCTTGTCATCTCAGGCTTCCCAAGGCTGTGTCCCATGTCCTGACATGGCAGTTTTCCAAGGGAGATGCTCAGTCCTCCACATTTCACTGCAGGTGTTCCGGAAGGGGGAGCCCTGGGAGGGGTTGGTGGGAAACTGCTGTTGGCAAAGGCAACGATCTAAGAAACCAAGTGCCTTGAGCTTCCTTGAACAGCTGCATTGCCACTGTCTGAGCCCACTGCATGTCCAGTGTGTCCTGGGAATGCCCCACCACCATGGGATGAACTAGTGGAATCAGATTTCCCTTGATATCCCAGCTAATCAATCTATCAAGTCAGGCATCTCCACAAACAGCCACAATCCAAAAATTTCCCTGTTCACATAATTTTCCTCACTACTTAAGTTATTTATACACCACAGAAGTCCTTCTGCTGATACAAAGGGCAGTTTCCTTTTCCCAGGAGGTAATTTTTTTCTCTATTAACAGCTGAAAACCTAATTTATTGTTCCCTCCCTTTGGAATATAGCTGGAATCAGCACACAGACGTGGTTGCTAGTGATCAGTATTGTCATTTCCTTCAGCGCTGTTGAATACCATTGCTTGTAGCATCGACTACAATTTTAATGCTGTGATTTCCAAGCTGCTGGAAGTGTTCTAGACTTGCCCTTCCCATTTTAGTGCTGGAAACTGCCATTTCCCACCACTGGACTGGGCTTGGACTGGCTGGGAGTGGGAGCTGAGCCCTTGTCTTTGTTAAGTGGAATATCGACAATAGGATCAGCACTGGTAGGCACTTACTGGTCTTGTGAAGCCAGTCTGGGAACACTGGTGTCACTGCACCAGCTCCAGGCTGGCCTGTAAATAGAAAGAAGGTGAATTCTGCTGCTCTAGACTGATGTGCAAAAAATAAAATCCTAAACAAAGCAAGGAAGGAGAAGCAGCAAAAATTCTCCTTTAAAATTCTCCTGCTTGTCAATCACCAGGAATAAAGTATGTAGGTTATTTTTAGCTCTTTTCTATCCTTGTAAGCTTGGAGGAGAAAACCACTCATCAAAGCTTTTTCAGTGTGAAACAGCAGCTTAAGTTTTCAAATAACAACTGTCTTAATAGTTTTTTAGGGCAACTTTGTACCTCATGTGTTCATATTGCTGCCCAAAGCTCGGAGGTGTTTGGAGTTCCTCATAGGAGGCTCCAAACCAGCCAAAGCAGGAGTGGTAATGGATGGATATGCAAAACTATTTACACAACTCATCATTCCAGAGTATGGAGCACAATTCCTGTTCCAGGTAATGCTCATAGTACATAAATAGTGATAAATCCACTGCTGTACTAGTTCCTGGGAAGTCTCCCTGGCTATGCTAGGCTAGAGTAGCTTGGTTTTAACCTCTTTTAAGTTATAGAAAAACAAGAAAGCAAACAAAAATAATCTTGAAGGATGCAAAATGCCAAAAAAATGCCCTGGCCACTGAAGTGAGAGCTGAGAGAGCTGGAGAAGGAGCCAGCCCTCCCTACTGGAAGCACTGGGGTGCAGCAGGAGCTCTGTGAAGCAGTGCAGGGGATCATCTAAAACCATCACACAAAACCTCTCCCTCCAGCAGATCAGCCATTGTACCTCAGAACTCAAACCATTTCCACTGCCAGCAGTGTGTACCCTGCAATATCCATTCTCAACACTCTGTTTAGAGGTTTTATCTGCATTTTGGAGTCCAGCTGAGCAGACATTTGGTTTAGAACACAGTCAAGCTGGAGGTGGGGAGAGGATACGCACAGTATGGGCTGTGTCTTGAATTTGTCAGGACAGGGACATAAAGTCACTTCTTACTGCACAGTCCATGTATTTTCTCTTGCAAAGAGCTGCATTTCCCTTGGCTGTGGGTTCTCTCTGGAAGCTCCCTCAAGGGCTATCAAGAGGAGGGATGAGTAGTCAGCATTTAATCCAGCTTTCTCTGTTAGGAAGGAGGAGATGGAGCAAATATCAGCACCTCACTCCTAGTCCTGAGCTGTCAGACCTGGGCAGGGGTTCGTGAGCCAACCCTCCCTTTGGAGGTTACTGGGATCTGTGTTTTCCAGCCAGCTCTCACATCTGGAGGTCACAGGACTCTGTGAAGGTGTTTGTGAGCCAACCCTCCCCTTTGTGGTCACAGGGCTCTGTGGAGGCACAAGGCTCAAATGCTGTTATTTGTCACAAGCTGCCATGGTGGAGAAGTTGTTAATAAAATGTAAAAAAAATTAAGACCTCCAAGATGCCATCTGTTTGTTTGGGTTATCCTTGTCTCATTTTGCGTGTTATTTAAAAATGTATATTCCAGTCAAACCACTGCACTGCTGTTTGAAGTTGCGTTTTCACTTCAGGGTATTTTTGTAACTGTACAGTAGCAATAAAAAACCAAACTTATTACAAAAATCACCTGTGTGGGAATTGAAATTAAAATTATGTGTGGGAATGTCTTGAAACATAATGGAGCCATGACTGAAGGCCAGAGTCCACTCCTAATTCCAGAGCTGACACAGGGTTTGGTTTCCATTCTCACTCAGAACTTACCATTACTTGATTCCTCAAGACCTGCTGCTGCCTGGACAGACTTCCCTCATTCCAGCAGCTTCTCTGTGAGCGTAGAAGGGGATGGTTTTCAGGGAATCAGGATGGGCTCCCTAGGGATAATTATTTAGGTCCATGGAAATGGTCCAGCCCAGTTCTTCCCCAAAAGGTCATTTTTTGCTGCCTAGTTTTGGTACAAAGGACCTGAGGAAGGAGAGACCCTTGTGCTTCCTTGAGCACAAGAAAGACCCTCCAGGAGCAGAGGAATTCAAGCAGACAAGAGTCACAGTGACTGAAACACTCAGCCAGCCACGCTGCACTCACTGTGCTCACACCTCAGCACTCCTCCATGTCAGTCTCATTTGTACTTTATTTAAATAAAAAAACAAACAGTCTAAAGCTCATTGAGAGAGAATACAGGAAAGTGTCACCTGCTAAAGAGTATCAGCTTTAAATGATTACAGCTTGTACTTTATAGTGCTTGTAAACTGTAACTCGAGGCTATGGAGTATTTTGATTTTTTAGGAGCACGAATTAGATTAAGATCAGCTGAGAACAAACTTCTTCCTGACCAAAACAAAGGTATTATTTACCAAAAATATTTATCAGCAGCATTTCACAGAGGGAAAGCCATCTTGGCATTGAGATCAGTGGTCACAGGCTTTATTAGCAATTACCAAGTCCACCATCTCTCTCAGTTCAGTTTGCTCATCCAGTCCCTTGGATCACCACAGCCAGTGTTTGAATGAGGAACCAACAGGTCCATCAGGAACTAAAGCTCCTGTTTTCAGTCAGAAGTCCCTGATGGGTGGATATTTCTCCTTCTGTCCCCAGCCATGATTTTCCTGAAGGTGAGGTTGACCCTGGGGGTGATGACCCTCCTCCTGGGGGGCAGGCTGTGGTACCAGTACACGTTGGTGGGGTGGTTCATCATGAGGAGGCTGCCGTGGGCCAGCTCCAGCTTGATCCGCTCCAGGCCCCGTTTCACCCCCTTCCTCCTGCAATCCCTGTGTCGGAAGATGAAATCCCTGCAGGCTCCAAAGGAAACGGATGCAATGGGACTGCGGGGAACCAGCTCGCTCTCATCATCTCGGTGCTCCCCGATGTGGTCCAGGCCATCTTTGTACCTGCGCACAGAGCACATTCATTAGTTCCACCAACCCAATTAAGTGAATGTCAACCCCTCAGCCACTTGCCAAGTGCTGCACAAGCTTTTTTCGTTTCATTTGAACCACAAGTGGGAACCAGCTGTACCTGTTGATAAGGACAAAGTTAAAGGTGTGTCCTGTGGCCAGAGTGATTCGCTCCCGGATGCGGTTCAGGACTGGGATCCATGGCCTGGGATGGAAGGTCACACCTGAGTAAGTGTAGGACAACTCAGGGTCTCCGTAGGTCACCAGCTTCCTTGGGATGTTGTGCCACGTGCCAAATATGTGCAATTTTGTCAGGTCATCTGTTCAAACAAGAAACGAGGAGGATCAAAACCAAACCCAAGTCTGTGTTACCTTTGCACAGTCCTACATTCTCCTGGATTTGCAGCTTCTGGGAATCTCCCGACAACAGAAATGAGGATGCTTATGATAACCCACAAGCTGTCACCCCTGTTCCCCGTGTTTCTGTCCCAACAAAGGACAAAGGTGGACACTACCTTGTTATCCCCCTTAAATGAGATAAACAGAACCAACATCCCCATCACATTCTGCCAGTGAATTAATGTAATGGCATATTTCATACATTGCCTCTTCCAACAAACTCCAGCCACTACAGCAGGCTTATCCTTGTACTCTTAAAACATCACTGAAACCACTTGAGAAACGCCTCCAGAGGAGAAAATCCTCAGGGTCACACCTGCGTTCTCCGCTTCTCAGGGCCAGATTGTGCCAAGCACCAGGTGACTGCAGAACCCTCCCCAGCTGCGCCCAGGCCCTGGGATCGCACTGGGACTCACCTTGGGTGGGGTGGGCTGGGCCGGGAAATGCTTCCCTGGGCAGGGTGGGGAGGGGTGTGGGGGGCCCAGAGCTGGACACAGAAGGGCTCAGGTTGGAAGGGAGCACTGGAGCTCATCCAGGCCATCCTCAGGTCTCCCAGAACACTGTCCAGGCTCCCTGGGCACATTCCCAGGGACGGAGCCTCCGGAGCCTCCCTGGGCAGCTCAGGTTCCCCCACAGGGCAGGAGGTTACCTTCGAAATACTGCACCTCCTTCTCCAGCTGCTGGAAGATCTCGTCGGCCTCGGCCTTAGGGAAGAGGATGCGATAGTCACAGCACAGCCCCTCGGCGCGGATCTGCCGCGGGGGGGGCCGGCCCGGCCTGGCCTCCTCGGGCCGCCGCCCCTGCCCGCCACAGCCCCCCGCCTGCCCGCGGGGCACCTTAACCACGAACTCGTCCATGGGCGGCACCGGGAGCGACGTCCCCAGGGAAGGACGGGGGGGCAGGACCCGTGGGCC